ACTTCCGTTCCCGAACTTCCAGTTTGCCCATAGGGCTGGTTTTTCACACTCTGGGGGCTTCAGGAAAGCTCCTGAAGCCTCCAGAGAGCCTCCAGTGGGGGGAAGGCTCTTTTTGCCTTCCCCAGGCTTTTATAAAGCCTCTGGAGCCTGGGGAGAGCGAAAAAAGCATGCCAAAAATGAGGAGGAGCGCTAGTCATGCGCACATGTGCACTGGAGTCGTGCATGAAGCATTATGGGTGTGGCACGCCTGTGCATGACCCCTCTGCGCTCCCCCCACTTTTGGCACGTGAACCAAAGAAGGTTTGCCATCACTGAGCTAGGGTATAAAAGAAAAATGGAATATATTACTATTCTACTTTCCCAAGATAATCTACCCTTTTGTAAAATGTTACAATTTCATCTACAGTATAAGGCAAGGGGTGTCAAACTCACATCATCATGACAGTGTCACGTGAGACATCATGACTTTTCCCCCTTCACTAAACCAGGTGTGGGCGTGGCCTGCACGTGACGCATTTGGCCCACAGACCACGAATTTGACAGCCCTGGTATAAGGAATAACGTTATTGCCCAGAACATTCTTGTAAATAAGCATGGTGTTAACAACTAACATTTTGCTTTGCCAGCAATAAAGTTTGTAGGGTGATTGTGGCCTGGAGAAATTGATGATAGAAGCCAGGTATGTTTATAAGGGCTGGTCTGTCCAAAATTTGGTAGTGGATGAAATATGGACCTGATTAAAAAAAATCTGGTTGGCTATCACCCTCTCTGAGATATGCCATTCTGGTTTTAGGTTCTTCAATAGTTTCAAAGGCATTGCTCTAGAAATTAACTGGTATTGATCTTTTGATCATATTTTTATCTATGATCAGGGATTTTGCAGTGTGAATTCTACTTATAAAGATGGGTTGTAAAAAGAAGCTCAGAATCCTTATCGTATACTCACTGCCCATAAGGTTTCTTTGGCTAGTTTGGTATACTAGAATCCCTTCCTCTCTCCCTTCCTTCCATCCTTCCTTCCTCTTTACTTGCTTTTTCTTGTCAAGACACCTTGTCTATTTTGTTGCTTCCTCAATATGATAAATGGAGATGGAGAAGGAAGAAAGAGGGAGAGGGGACAGTGAGAGGGGGTGTGGTTTGAGACATAATTACAATTGTGATACCTAGTACCCTTGATTCTGTCACAGTCCACAACACATGGCAGACAGCACTTTAACACTGTAGATCTCGCTTTGCTCAGCTTTATGCAGTCAGAAAATCTGGTGGCCCCATCACTGTATACAGTAATAAGGATGCTCAGCATTTGTTCTGATTCTACAAAAACCTTCCTTGATGATATTTTAATTAAAATCTTTTTCTTATGGGACTACTGATATAAAAATTCTGGGTGATGTCTTTGCCATGCTATAACAGGATTGTGCTGTTGTAGCTACCAGAAAAATGTGCTATAGAAGACCAAATCATATGATGAAACATATTGATGTAATAAATTAGTAAGAGAGTGGTGAAAGCAGGCATTGAGCAGACTGCTTAAAAAATAGCTACATGTTAAAGGTAATAATGGAACTATCTATTGAATAAACACCATTAAATTATTCCCTGTGAAAACTAAGGCCAAGTATTGAGTTATATGAGTGCTGTGGTTCAACTCCATAGGCTTTTTTCTTAATATCACATATCTGTGAAGGAAAACTTGTGATGACATATAGATGATACCCTGATATTTAAGGCAACGTGTTTATGAATTCAGATTTGCTGAATTTATTCATTTGCTACCCGTGTAATGTAATTTAGTAAGATCATTTCGGGTATAATCAAACATGGAGTCCACAATAGTGATGATGATGATGATTTATACCACAGAGAACCGGACTCAGAATCTAGCAGGTAGAATTAATTTGTATTTTTATTTTGGTATAAAAGATGATGGAACACCAATTTTAATAAATTGATTGCCACATCTCTGTCTAGAAAGTAATGTCAGCATGAAAGACGAAGTGCATGCAAGAGTGAACCAAGTATGGTTACAGTGGGAGATGACTGGTGCGTCCATCTAAAATCGAAGATGTGTAAAACAATGGTGTGCCCAGCAGCGCTATATAGTGCTGAGTGCTGGCCAGTCATCAAAAGTATTGAGCACACTTTACACACCATGCAGATGCGCATGCCTCATTGGTCATTAGGTGTTTCTCTCCTTGACTATATCAGCAATAACACAGTTCAGAAGCAAATGGACACTGTGCCACTATCAAAGAAAATTGGGCAGAAATGCCTACAGTGGTATAGATGTGTTCTATGAGCAGCACCCTACACCGTTATCCACATCACTTCCAATTTAATTTAGATGGCAAGCACCCGTGTGGAAGGCCGAAGCAAAGATGGCAAGATACAATAAATGTGGACATGAAAAATGCCCAGCTGAACCTGGATGTTGCATTTGATTATGCAAAATAGCTCTTGTTGACCTGAAAAGTGGACTCTGCATCTGTGGGGAAAACACTTAGATGCTGCTGATACTGCTGCTGATGGTGGTGGTCATGTCGGTTATTTGCTTGGGCATCTCACTTTTTGCCCACTACAGTTTATGAAATCTGTTGCACGTATAATCAATATATATTCCCATGCTTTCGCCTTAGGAGGTGCCCATCTTTTTTTGGTGTACATTAACTTTTGTAAGGATATTTAGACTCCTAAAAATTATACTACCTTGCAGATTGTTGTTCTATTAGCATATTGTGTGTATGTGTGTATGAATACACACACACACGACTAAAACTCTCAATGTTCATCTGTTTGTAGCCTTCAATCGAGCAAAATGATGCATCATAGGGCAACAATTTTTTAATCAACTTACCTCAAATGGGTTTACTTAAAGAATGCATCAAAATTCCAGGACCATTACTCCTGTGGGATTGTAATTTGGCAAAGTTGTGGCTGCTTCAGTGTAGCTGCAGTCACGTGGTTGTCATTTGCAGTGTTCCCTGCCAAGTTCCTCCAAGAAATATCAGTGGGGAAGCTAGCAGGAAGTCAGAGGTGTCTCCTATTCCCACCGCTGTTTTGCCTGCCTGTGGTCATTCTCTTCTCAGTTTAAGTAGGCAAATATTTCTGAAATGATGACCCAACAGGTCACAGCTTGTATAGTCTCCAATATTGTCCTGGAACACTACAATTGTAGCATTCTCCTCTCTCTCCTCTTGCTAACTTTATTTGCCTTACAAACGTGCATAAACAATAGCTACACAAATCTGGTATAAATCAAGACAATCCCATTTTGACCTTTTAAAATATAAAACAAGCCTATCTTTGGGGAAAGGGGTACATGCAGTATTCAGGTATCTACATTCCAATAGAAAAATTGAGCTGACATCAATCTAATATGCTATGGTATAGATTGTCGAGAAATATCATTTGTATGCAGGCTGTTTGTGTGTGTGTGTGTGTGTGTGTGTGTGTGTGTGTGTGTGTGTTTCTCTCCTTGTATAAATTGAGATGGGTTTGGTTTGGCTATAGCCCCTGCTATTGGTTCCAGGCCATCATGTGCCAAGCCTGGCTGAGGCTTTGGGATGCTCTGTGCTTGCATTAAATCGATCCACTGCTGCACATTAGAGCTGAACCTGCCAGTGAATCAGACCTTTCCTTTTTTTTTTTCATTTCTCTGCCTGCCTGCCTGCTTGCCTGCCTGCCTCCGTAGCACCAGTCTTATTTTAGCTTATCGAGGAGGAGGAGGAGGAGGAGGAAGAGGAGGAGGAGGAAGAGGAAGAAGGAGAAGAAGAATACAGGCAGAAAAAAAAATACTAGACATTGCAGCAACCAGGGAATCCTTATGAGTAGATGGTGGATGGAAACTACTTCTCTTGTCTCTTTCATTTTTTGGATTTTACAGGATTTCTTTGCTGCATTCAGCTCCAAGATGAAGCAAAACTGACACACAGAGAAAATTATACACGCAGTCACACCGGGTGAAGAAAAGAGAAAGCAGAGACCGCTGGATAGCAAGGGGGGAGGAATATCCTACAGCTTCAGCAGCTTAAAGGGAGCCCAAACCCTTTTCACCTTCAGATCTTGGACAGTGCTGAAGATAGCAGGATGGAGCTAAAGTGAAAACAAACCTTGGGGTGGGGGGGTGCTTTTATTTTGGTTTTGGGATTTTTGTTTTGTTTTGATTTTTGTTTTGGTGTGCATATTTGTAAGTTATTTTTGCCTTTCTTTTTTTGAACAATTATTGTTTTTTTACAGTGCATTGTTTTGTGAGATGGAAAGGCAAGTACAGTGATATTGTAAATCTGACAGAAATATTTTATATCTTTTTTTCCCTTTTTTGTGAGCACAGATATTTGCCAATCTGCTCAGTATAAAGGAAGCCTGCATTTTTCTCATTAAATTGAACTGAAGTACTGAGTCTATGTGAGGCTAATTTTGATGGTGTCTTTTTATTTTTATTTCAATTTATTTCCCTTCGGGCTTTGAATATAGAAGTAGGAGTGAGGAATTGGTGCATTCATTTTCTTTAATTGTATTTTTCCTTCCTTGGTAGGATAGAGGTATTGTTGTCACTAATTTAATTTGTCATCCCCCCCTCTTTTCACCTCCCAAAGGCAATGTCTTTTTTTAATGGAAATATTTTTAATTGAGGGTGCATTGAATCTTTTTCATTGCAATTTGTTTTAGGAGCAGTTTGCTGCATTTTTCCCTGTTAACTGCAATCTACTATTTGGAGTTATTTTTTTCTTCTTCTTGGGGTGTGTCCCCCCCCTCCCCAGTTGCAGTCATTTAGGTAGAGGTGGAGAGAATTTGTACACCATTTCCATCCTACATAGGGAGGTGCGAGTGACCATGTCCAGGACCTCTGCTGCTTTCCTTGGCTGTGCTCCTGCCTGAGTGCCCCCTCCCTCTGCTGCAAGCTCCCCAGCAGCATCGACGGCAGCCGATGGGATGCGATGAGCTTCTTCTCTCCAGCAACATCCTCAGCAGCATAACCCCCGGCCCTTTGCTCTTTGCAGGATGGCTCGGTTTGGAGATGAGGTGCCAGCCCGCTATGGGGCAGGAGGTTCAGGGGCAGCTGGTGCTGGAACAGCAGGCGGCGGAGGTGGCCGGGGTGCTGGGGGCGTTCGGCAAGGTGGTCCCCCAGGGGCCCAGAGGATATATAAACAATCGATGGCCCAGCGAGCCCGTACCATGGCACTCTACAACCCCATTCCTGTTCGGCAGAACTGTCTGACTCTCAACCGCTCCCTCTTCCTCTTCAGCGAAGACAACGTGGTGAGGAAATACGCCAAAAAGATCACCGAATGGCCATATCCTTTCTATGGGGGAGGGGGAGAAACTGTTCAGTACCAATACTTAGGCCGCAGTAATTACTTACACTTGAGAAAGGGCAATAGCTAAGACTGTCCTGCATGCTTGATCTTGCCTCTGCATGAAGTCCCACTAGCACATCCTCCACCCCAAGCATTCCTGTTCAACCCCTGCATGTCCATATCATCCATTTCTCACATCGGTATCACTTCTGGGTTCATTTCCTCCCTCATCAACCTGTTTCTGCCAAGGCTCTTTTCTTTCTCTCCTTTCAACCAGATTTATTTAACTGATACTGTCAGCTCTGTTGCTGAATGCATCCCTTTTCTGTTCCCAGGAGGTGTAAGGCTTTATTGGGAGATGCTTTTTTCTTTTGTCCACATGTCTTTCTCCTCGCAATATCACTCTTTAATGTGTACTTTGGTTTATCTGTCTGTTTCTCCTGGAATCTCTCCCTATGAAGAGATTCTGAGCTTCTCACTAACCCAAGCATTGGATACTTTATTTCCTTCTCTCCCTGCTTTACCTCTGAAACCTGTTAAAAACTACTACTGCAAAATAGTTCTTTCTTTATCGTGCAAAGGGTGGAGATGGTGCAGTGGGGGTGGGGGAGACCGGACAGGTAGCATTATCTTTTATTTCTTATCCATAGTTTGGAGTTTTAGAGGCTGCCCCAGTTTCCCCTTCTTAGGATAAAAGGACTTTGTAGGCCTAAGACCTTCATGGGCAATCAGTAAGTATGGTTGCCAAATATATGTTATGCTATGGGGAGTAGGACTCCTCAGCACTATTTCTAGTTTATTGCACAGAAAATTGTCAAATAGTATGGATCAGGAATTAGTCTAACAATCTTTAGAAGAGACACGTGGTGAGAAATGAGTAGCTAAATGGGTTCCACCCTCCCCCAACTGTTCTGCAGGGCTGCCAAGAAGTGTCCCATGTTATTAATATGCATGTAATCCAGGAGCAGGAGACTGAGCACTTGAGATACAAGAAGATAATTAATATTTTTGTAGGTGGGGAGAGATTGATGAGCATTGCTAATTGCGGGAGGGGGTGTTTTCAGACTATTTGTTTCCTCTGATATGGAAGAAAAAGCCAGATTCATCACTCCAAGTCGGTATGTAAATACTTTATTTTCTTTAATTCCTATAACTATTTTGTATGTTGACAAAGAACAATGTGCGTTTGTAATATATAAATTATGCTATTTTTGTGGATATTCTCCAGGTTTGCATGTACTTCAAACCTAGTTTATTCTGATGAAAAAACCCTTCATGTCTATTAATGCTTAGGTGTAAAATATTGTTTTTATTCTCTGATGCAATATTAACAGTATTTTTCAGTGCCGATTGAAATGTAAGGCACTAATTTTAGGAAGATACCATATAATGATATAGCAATGTTGCATGTCTGTGGAAAAAAATATTTTTGTGTTTGCTACAGCTTATTTTGTAATTTTAATGAAAGGATTATGTGCAGTTTTGTTGTCAGTTTGAGGAAAGAGTATATTTTGTTTACAGAAAGGTGACACTAGAACACATCTCTAAAATTAATGGTGTAAATACATAAAAGTATAATAATAATCAGATTTTATTTGTTAATAGTATAAAAGCTTTTGTATATTTTTTTTTAAAAATGCACATGGTTGAGTTAGCTCATCACCTCAGAAAAAAAGATATTATTGAACATGTCTTTAAAGTTAATAAAATAGATGCTACAAATGCTGATTGAGATAGAAATATATGCAGATGGATGGAAAATCTATTAAATTTCATTCATTGTAATTATTCATAAAACCTAATAATCTTTTGAAGATTCAAGTTATTTGTGTGTATTGTTTCTCATGGATGTACAAAATTATTTTTATGTTTTGGTAAGATGAGGCAATAAAATTTGAGAGATGGGAAGTAATCACAATCAGGTTGATCCTGTGAATGGAGTGCTGGGATTTACACAAGTTGTAATCTCAGTTCAGTCACAAGTTATATAATTAGATTTTTCTTTCTAAATTTAAAATGGAAATAATAATAATAATAATAATAACAACAACAATAACAATAATAACAACAACAACCTAGGACGCTGGCAGCAAACCGTATCAACCATTAGCACCAGTCACTGGTATTTGTAATGCATTTTTGAATGTTCA